GCATTAGATAGTGTGCCGGAAATCACTGTCTCCACCTTGAACTGAATGAAGGAAGTTCTGTGGTCCCGAGGGCGATTGCGAGGATGATAAAGTTTGGATTCGTGTCGAGCTAGACTTCTCAAGGCATTCCCGCTATCCTTGTGTAATTCTAGCGATCGACCAGCATAGGTCCCTTATAAACCCCAATAATCCACCGAAAGCAGTTTGAAAAACATAGAGTGCCTGAGGGTACGCAGCCTCGTGCTGAGCAACCCACTTGTCGCAATGGATTGATCTTTTTTTTTTTTTTTGATTTCTTGCTTGAGATTTTGCGTGCGCATTGCCAACAATGGCTTTGTCTCAACATGAGGGTCCCGCTGTACCGGCCTAAAATCCCACGATGTGCACTGAATGCTCCCAGGATCTACAACTCAGAGGATGAGGAAGCCGGCCCACTGAAGGCAGACACCATTTCAGCATGTTCTTCGCATGCTTCAGCAGCTTTAGCATTCTGTAATTCTGTAAGGTGGGTACTTACTCCAGTCTCCAGCAGTTAAAAGATATCCGACAACATGTTGACAGCCTCAACAAAATATAGCTTGTGCTATTCTGTACTGCTTGTAGCTCGCACCTGCCTGTTGTGTTGTCTTGGATTCCCAGAATTTGATTCTTGGCCGACCTTGCAGTAACGTTCAAAATTCAGACCTAAGCTGCAGCCGCCCTAAATTGTCGTTTTCCGCACTTCAGGGCAAGATGAGGGACAACGGCCTCATCGACTTCACCTACGAGGTAGCACCTGTAGTATCTGAGGAACTGTAAGTCCACGCTTCAGCGTGCTCCTCCCCGAGCTTTTTGGGTTACCCCATTGGAAGGAGCTTGGTAATGATGTGATCGTCTGATAGGCCTTCTAAGCAGTATGGGAGAATGGCATGGCCCTACTTGTAGCCATCCACGTCGAAGATCAGCAATCGCGAATCCCAGCTCCTCCAGCCGTTGGCCTTGCTGGTTTCCAAATGCAGAATATATACCCTATAAATTTAACCCCTATATAAATTCCATAATCCCTATACTTTCCATTTTCTTTTCTATTGTCCCTATTATATAACCCCAATATAACCCTTTTTTCTGAACGTGAAGAGGAGTGACGTTGAACTGCAAGCTAAGAGCTAGTCTCGGAGCTGTTCTGCCACATGCACGGTCTGTGACAGATGTTGTGTGGGCTCGTGTTAAACGGGTGCATTGAGTGGGAGGAAACATTGGATGTTGTGAAGTGGCTGCCTTGACTGGCATTCACCGAAGGTCCACCTGTACTACGAGCCTCAGTGAGAAGGGGTTGGTACTAGGCATTATGTGGAGCTGTAGAGGTAGAGCAAGGTAGGACCTGGCATGCGCCAAAGATCTATGTGCAGACATCAGAACTCCATGTAACTCCCTGCCGAAACTTGTTGTTGTTGTGTGGCCGTTAGGGCAAAGTGCATTGATCGGCGCCTGAGCTTTTTGGCAGGCAGGCTGGCTAAGCTAGCAAGCTCGAACCCTTTTCTCCCAAAGGCTGCAGGCAGATGCTTCGCATCGCAGGCCTTGATCATGAAAAGAAAGGGCCACCAGTTCTAAGCCCAAGATTTGCTCTGCATTTTTCTAAGACCTTGTTTCCCTTTACCTTGCACTACGCTTGCCGGCCATCCTACCCTAGCAGTCCTTGGTCAGCACTGCGCCCTTTGGAAACACGCTCAGCGGGTATCATGGTCAGCTACTCTTCCCCGTTCTGCCCTCCCTTCTGGCATTTTGGAAATCGAGCTGGAGTCTGCAGCCGCTGAGTAAGCTCACTGAGGGTCAGATTTGACTCGTACTGGCCATCGCGCAATGGCCTGCTGGCGGCTTGCCTGGTGGCCTTTGCGATGCCCGCTGCACAGAGCACTGGCGAGTTCCGGCAGCCGCAAGCCTTGGGCGGCGATGTCACAAACGGAGCGTGCAGCCTGGGAGGCTTTGGGGCACGGTGAAGCTTGGCACCAGAAACCGCAAAAGCCGCTGCCTCGATGGGGTGAGCTGCAGGCCCATCAGCAGGCTGCGGCCAAGCATGGCCTAGGACATGACAAGGCTGCGGAATCGCATGTCATATATTCTGCTATTGAACTTTAGTAGGAAAAGCGACCCTCTATCCTGCACTCATCAGTCTGTCCATGAGATCTGTCAACAGGCAACCTGGGAGAAGCTGAGGACGCACTACTCTCAATCACAAAATCCCCAGGGCGCAATCGCTTCGGAAGCAACCTCTGCCGTAACAAGAACTGACACGGGGACAAGCGTGATGAGTGGGGCGGCAGGAGCAGCGTGGTCAGTCTGCAAGACACTCGCACCGGTGCTCGGGGATGCACTTGGTGGAGCAAGGCACCCTGCACTGAGGGTGTTGGGAGGTGCTCTCCGCTACACAGCAGATGTTGCTGACTCGTTGTCCCTCCCCGTTAGTGTGGACGGAACTGAGACTGTCTTGTACTTGGATGACTCGGGCTCAATGCGGAGTTCAGTTGACGGCGTTTGGGGCAAGTCTGGGCTGCAGTTGGGTCAAGACGTACTGGATCAGGTGGCACCCCTGCTTGAAGGGCCCACTCGCATTCTGAAGTTTGGCTCACACCCAAAGGTCTTGCTTCCCAGGGAGGAATTGTCACAGACACAGGATCTGGCAACCACCACACAGCTGCTCCAGTGCTTCGCCAGCATTTGGCATTATTCCTGCTTTCGTAGTTGAATCCAATGCGCCGTGTAGCAAACATGTGGATCCCTTTCTAGCTAGTCTTCCCTGCCAGCAGCGTCGTGGCCGCACAGTGGAACGGCACTTCTGGCGGTACTTACATGTGGAAGATGATCGAGGAAGACGTTTGCACAAGGTACAACCCTGGGCAAGGCCGGCTACGATTGATCGTCATAACGGACGGCTACGACACCCACTCTCCAGGCCAGTGCTTTGTGCTTCGCGCGAGCTGACACTGTTCGATTGATGTGGTGAAATTTGCGCAGGTGATTACTGTGGCATCAGGGGTATGGATCCCTTGATGAAGGACTCTGACACATGATTGGGAGTGGCGTGGATTTAACTTGTTTTCCTTGTCTCCTAGTAGTAACTGATATTCAGGTTAAATGAGTTTCCGGAAGAGGGTCCATCCACTCGTACCCTCAAACGAGGAGAGGGTGCAAGTTGGGGTCCTAGATGTTTGTGGAAATTGTCGTTCTGTCGATGGAGGAGCTACAGAAGCAAGGGTTCGACGTGGAGTGGCACATTGCCACCTGGCATGGCTATTGAAATCCACCTGTCTGGAATGCCAAGCTACCCATGCAGCCCATTTACCCATTCAATAAGGAACGGGTTGAATTTACTCTCAATGACACTAAATGATAGTAGGTTGCCTAATCACACATCAGCAGCGGCAAAACCCCCATGTGGAAATCTATACTGTATGAGGGTTCAAATAGACGTTGGCAGCGTCAGCTTTTATGGTGTGCGCGATAACCCGCGACTGTGATGGCGTCAGTTAAGTGAAAAGATGCGTCCATGTCAGCTATTCCTGGGGCCGCATGAGTCTGCGATAGGCGCGGGCAATAGCGCAACTCTCCTCTAAGCGTCTAACCAACAGCTTCAAGTTTTTGCCACGACTCACATATTTCTTGAGGCTCGTGTGGGTGACAAAGCATTGTGGAGTTGGGGCTTTTGATAGTGTGGAGCGGGAGGACGAGGGGCTTGAAGCATGGGAGTGCGAGCACATGAATTCTGTAGGAGTGTGAGCTCTGAACACTGAGAAGTGGATGCGCTTCGCGCCGCTCAAGTCTAAAGTGTAGGTGCGTGAGTGCCATGCGCTGGGAAGTTGTGTTGGGAGCCTGGTTGCTACAATTCGTGGATCGTAAGCCCACTGCAACCTACTATCCCGCTCATGAGCCTTTGTCACTGCACGTGTGTGGTTGAGATCGCTGAGCCTGAGCCTTGGAAATCGGATTGGAAAGCGGGCAGCTTCCGGACTTGGGGGACTGGCGGCTGGATCAGGCTTGACTTACTTTTTCTCCAAGCGAGGCTCGAGACATACAAGCAGTCCAGTCAACGGAAGCCCCCGAAGGGGAGGATGTTGCATCCTGGTTGAACCTGGCGGCTGAGGGCCAGATACTCGCGGTGTGGTATCCCGACGATGACGTGTACCATGAAAGGGTTTTGATCTGGCGTCGCTTGCCCGGTTTCTGGATGGTCCTGACTCCTGACGGAGATCGTTACACAGAGGACCTCCGGTGTTGCGGCGGAGACGGACCCACTCGGGTCAAGATCAAAGGCCAGGACTTTCGATATTGGTCGAGGGTCGGAGGCCGGGCTTGTCGGTTTGCAGAGCATCCTTCAGATGAAGCCTTCAAGCTGCACATGCAGGAAGCCCGGCGTGAGAAGAAAAGGGGGTCGTGATTTTGAGGACGGCTGGTTCCCCGACAAGATCTTGCATATGAGTGGCAATCTCCTGACAGCTACCTCCTCTATCCCGGAGGCCCCTGCCAGGCGACGGATCACGGGCAAGTCCCCAGTTGGCGTTGTTAGGTTGGATGCGAGCAACGATCCAGGTTCAAGAGCGAGATCGTGTTCACTGTTGGATCCCAGCTTGAGCCTGTTGAGGCTGATGTTTTCTCGGGAGGTAAACAAAGGGCTTTCCTTAGGGATGGTTTGTGGGTCAGGAGTGAGATAGTCCCTGAATCGCTTGTTGAACAATGGCGCTTGGACCGCCTCACCTTCTTGATTGGCCTCCCCCGGATCACCCCTGCAGCGGAGCGCTTAGGGATCCTCTCGGAGACCTAGGGCAAGGTTGAAGATGACAAAAGGGCGATGTCCTTGGCTCCAAGTCGGCCGAGAATGATGAGGAGAATGCCTGATCATCAGCTTTCCGCCGCTGACACAGAAAAAGTCCTTGATAGTAATGCTTGCGCCTTGTCTACTTTGAAGATCATTGAGCTGTGCGACAAGTACCACCTGCTTTGGATAGTTGAAAACCCACACACCTCCAAACTGTGGCTTCTTCAGGAGTTTGCACAGCTCATTGCATCCCCGCACACCCAAAGGTCCGCGTCATTGACTTTCGTGTTTGCTCCAGGCCATGGAGGAAGCGCACGCAGCTCTTGTTTGGAAATGTGTTTGTTCAGGACTTGGATCGGCTTTCCTCTCCACTGCCAGACCCCATCTGGCTCGTGCAGCTTCCGTCATCGTGGACATTTTCATGATTTGACAGGAGCTGGCCCAGGAAACGTCCCTTGGACCAAACTCGCCCAACTGTATCCTCCCGGGCTTTGCAAGGACCTTGAGCACATACTTTCTTCATCGTACATGGTGCTTGGACAACATCCTTCATCCACCTGGATGTTGTGGGGATGATGTGGGAAGAGAATGTGGTGATTTTTCTAAGTTGTTCTTCGGCAATTCCATCCTGGACCCCTGCCCACCGCTTTGCTTTGATTGTGCGCACGGTTCTGAGACATAGTGCCGTTGAAACAAAACAGACCGCTCTTCCGAAGGCATGGGGGTGCGAGCGCGTGAATGCTATAGGAGTGTGGCTCTGAAAGTTGAGACGTGGGTGCGCTTCGCGCCGCTCAAGTCTACCCACCTACCCTTCCCTAAGCGAAGACGCATGCGGTGACCTTTCGAAGTTGCTCTTCGGCAATTCCATCCTGGACCGCTGGCCACGGCTCGGCTTTGATTGCGCGCAAGGTTCTAAAACATAGTGCCGCTGTAAAAAAAGACCGCTGTTCCGAAAGCATGGTTTTGCAGGGATCACCACGTCATGTCTATGCAGGGCTATATTTTAGCTGTGTCTTCTTCCTTGCGACGTTCCGCTGCACATTTTATGTTCACCAATGAAACTTGATGACGTGGATCATGTACAAGATCGAGTCAGGAGGCGGTTTGGTCATGTTGTCTTGTTTCCCACCAATAAGCAATATGGCATTGAAAATTGGAATCTAGTGTATAAGGATTATACAGGGACTATATTCTTTTTTATTACTTATGATCAGTTTCAAGGTCATCCTGGGCCGTGGCTTCCAAGCCGAGGAGCGCAGAAGCTACGAGGCCCTGGCGGGCGCCACTGGGGGCTCTTTCCTCGAAGTGAAGGACCTATACTTATTGTGAGCAGCATTATTGCAATTAGTATTACTACCATTCTTGTCATTAGTACCATTAGTGATATTATTTTAATCGTATTGTTCTTGGGCAGCAGATTTCTTCCGGGTTTCCTGAGGCCATATGACCTGAAGTCTGAGCTTTGGACCTGTTACATCCTGGACCATGTGAGACCTCACATTCTGAGGAACGTCCTGTAACAGTTCAGAGGTTCCCTGAAACCGCGAGTCTTTCACAGCGAGGACGGTGGGGCAAGCAGCGAAGCCTCTCACCGTTTCCTGGAAGCTCTCAGGGAAGGCTCCGGCTCGCGGCAGGCTCAGGGCTGAGGGCTACGTGCCACTTACGAGCATTGCAGTCCCCATGGGTTTGGTATGTCACGGACATGCTGTGCCATGTTGTGCCTTTGATCAGAGTCACCTGTTGCAGCATGGAGTGCTGTAAGAAATTGTGGTGAGATCTGAGCTTTTTTTGGGTTTTGATCATCGTTGCCTGGGCCTGGTTTCTGCAGGCACGGCAGCAAGCATACCTAGCAGACACGGCTGCCGGGCGCATGCAGAAGGTGGAGTGGTTCAAAGCTTTGCCTCCAGCCGCAAAAAGGCTCCAACAGCAGCAGCGAGGGTGCAAGTTGCTCCCTACATCCAGTGGTTGCACATTCCTGGTATACAATAGTATACAGTTTGTGTGTAACAACGTTTTCTGCTCATGTTGATTTGGCTGGGAGATTGTACCCTTGTTCATAAGCTTGCTGGCCATGTGTCATTCCTTGTCCCGAGCGAGGCAATGTTGAACTCACGGCCGACGCATAAACAGCTTCCTGCAAACATACTGCTCTCAAATCGAACATGATGCCATCAAGCTGTCGCAAGGCATTGATCTGCCCTGTGCATCTTTTAATTCTGCTTTTCGCCTCAACCCCAAGACAATGGCGCAATCAAGATTGCGGCACGACCGATGCATCAGCACCGCAGTCTAGTGGCTCGACGGTGTGCACGTAAGGGGCCCAAGCCACATGCACGGCACTTTGCGAACGCACCCGCGGATGCTGAGAATTTGTTTTCCAGCAGTGCAACATTTTCACATTGACGTGTTGACGCAGATTTTACTTGGCTGGCACAACACGTGCCGCAGCGGAGGCACCTGTGTTTGTGGCAGGTTCGAGAAGTGGCTTTTGCCAAATGCCAATGGCGCTTCTTGCCCAGGCGTGGAGTTGCTGAACAAATTCAAACAGCATCCGGACACTGTCCAGGAGCAGTCAGAGGCTGATCGCAACAGTCATTATGTGGTGGCCAGGATGATGCAATGGATTCCCGCTCAAGTGCAGGGCTTGCTTGCTGCTAGGCGTTCCGCGCTTGGGGCATGGTAGGGGAGGGGGGTTTAATTGAAACCTCGCACGGGCAACGTGATGGCTCCTCAGTTTATGTAAGATAGGATAAGATAGGATTCTTCAGGACCTGCTGAGGAAACCTGGTAGCAGCGCGCCGCGATGTTTGATGTGCTCAAAAGTTTCGCCACACGCCCCTGCCATCCCCAAGCAATCATTGTGGGAACCAGTGCCATCCTGGGTTGCTGTTCACGGGCGCATAGGCCTTGCCAATGGATTATCAACCTCTGAGCACAACATCCGCGGTCAACAATGCATTTTTTCTGACGTCTGCTAGTGGAGCCTTAAAGGAGTCACACACACGAAGTCCATCGCGACATCGAAATAAAGCGTCCGATCATGTCCGAGTAGCCTTGTCATCGTTGCAAGTACAAGCATAGATGTTCTGGTACCGTGAACATTATCATTTTGTCCCAACATGTTTGTTCCATTAATCATCAGACAGCCAAGAAACAGGTTGTGAAGTGTGAGTGAAATGCTGAAACTGCCACACTTGGAACTTCTTCCTGCTGTTGTTCAATCGCAACAATCTGGCCTGGAAACATGCACTGCGGAACTTGGCACCACCTCCACGACATTCGTGCACTTTTCGCTGCGTTGTTTATGCCATCCGGCCGAAGTTCACCTTGTGGAAAGCATGCGTAACCAGGCAAGGCAGCGTACATGTGAGTATTGCCAGGTGTGCCGTTTCACGAGAAGTTTGCAAAGTGCAGTGCAATGAGCAAATACCGACATCCAAGCTCGCTGCATGTTTCTTGGCCCCCCTTGCACACCTTCAAGCCACTAGACTGTGGTGCTGATGCATTGGTCATTGGCCGTGAGTTCAACATGCCTCGCTTGGGAAAAGGCATGACGCCAAGCCCAGCAGGTTGATGAACAAGGGTTGGTAAGCCAAAAATATTGTATTCGTGGGTATGAATATTGAACCTCTTGCGTACAGCTGAAACCAGTGCAGGGCTGGTTTGTCTTGGTTGCAAGACCAAAGCGAAGCATTATGGACATTGCTCCTTTGTTGGTCGCCCTGCAGTAGCCTTGAAACACCCTTCTCTACGCCGATAATTTTGCCTAGTCTGGTCTGAGGCCAGAGAAACACAGAGCCTGAATCTGCGTCATCCTTCATTAGCAACATTGGATTTGACTTGCAGCATGCCAGAGCCGTTCCAGTTCAAGCTGTGGAACGTGCGTTGCTCTGGAGGAATGCCAGCTGAGAGCCATCAGTCACTTGAAAAAAACATCGTAGAGCAGCAATAGAACCGTTTGCTTGCGTGAATACAGATTTTGGAGCTGTGAGATTGAGAGCTTCCGCAACCCGACATGCAGGTGCGCGCAGTGAGTTGGGTCAGCAATTCGGGGCACCAAGTTCAACTTCTGTGTTCACGGCTCAAGTTCTCCCGATAGAGGAATGTATGCCGCAATGCAGCAAAGTGCACTGAGGTCTCGATTGTTTCTCTTGTGAATTCTGAAGTTCTGCATCCTTTTCATCACGTGGGAAATCATGGAACCGAGGTAAGAAGCCAAAAGGGCCCCATGCAACACAGCAAATCTGAATACGGACCTGCAGGTTACTGCATCCTCACAGCACTGCTTGCCAAAGAAGGCATACACAGATTTATCAGAAGACAAATTCAGAAACAAAGCCATTGCAAATCTTGTCCGCCTTCAGCTGAAAGCAGGTGCCTACTTCGCAAGCGCCAGTTCTGATTCAGAAGCCTGGTGGTGATCGGCACTTAGAGCGTTGAGCCTCGCATGTTTGGCCTCTTTGGACCCTCATGTCAAGCTGCAACAGTCAGGTGAATCCGCAGCACTGATTGACTTCTTGCATCAGTGTTGTTGCAGGTGTCACGCCTGCCATGCAGAAGCAACCATCCCGTGTTCCAAACTCTCACACGGATTCACCCCAAGTTCCATTCTGCGGCGGCCAAGGGATCGAGTCCCTCCGCGGTTGCCTCGAGCACAGTGCAGGCCATGTCCGTCTAAGCCCGGAGATGCAAAAGTCACAAGCAAGGAGTCCCAAAAGGAAGGGAGACAGGTACCGTGTTCTGTAGAGTAGTATGTTGTGCAGTAGTAGTGGTTCCAACAGACCATTAGTGTCAGGCCGATTCCCTGATGCCACCAATCATCCGGCTGCCAGTACGCCATCAAAGATGCCAGTCCACGTGCCGCTTTTTTTTTGACACGAGATGCTTGCTGCTAGTTTTCAGTCGCCACTACCATGGTCTGTTGCGCTGCACTTACATGGAGCCCGATAGCACCCGATAGCAGATCCTTTTCTGTCCAACCTGAAAAAATCAGAAGTGTACAGAACATCATTTTTTGCAAGCAACTTTTCTTGAAGCTCCTCTCCGCCATGACAGCGGATGCCGGCTATGCTGCAGCTCCAGCAGATGGCGCTCAGGCCGCTGCAACTCCTCCCTGAGTAGTTATCTTGTACATGAAGCACCAACGAGGCGGCCAAGATGCGCTTCGCGGATTTGCCTTTAGCTGCTGAAGGCAAGCAGGCCATGCAGGAGGCACTCGCGCATGGAGGGTTTGGACTGGTCGCAGACACCTTCGAGTAGCAGTTGTGCTTGAAGTTCACGTGAAGCGGAAAACGCAACAACAGTGCTTGCGAGCTGTTCGCTACTTGCCCAGGCCTTCCAGTACGAGTTCCTGATCCCAACTTGCACATCAGCCTGTCATGTTTCTGGACGTTTGCAAGTGTGCGGAAGCTTCAAGGCCAGAGGCGAGTTCAGTTGTGTAAGGACAGAGATCCAGCAAAAGAGCTTCGAAGCCATCCGTGCCGGTGCGGAGGTTGTGGCACGGGCAAAGACAGGCGAAGTGGAGATGGTCAGGTACACTAGGGGGCCCTTCAGGAGTTTTCATCATGGTTCTGTCTTACCATGCTCCACTTGTGGCAGACTGTGCAGTTGTAGCCTGTTTGGAGTGCAAAGACGTCCATATTGGGCCTTTTGGGATCTGGGCCAAGAAGCAAACAGCCACCCGGTCTGACTGCAAAGTGTTGCCAACCTGCAACTTGATCTAGGAATCATCTTCATCCTCACCAACTGCAATACTACAGTTAGCTAAGCTTCAATCTTGCGACCCTTTCAAAGAGCATCAGGCTTTGAGATGATCCCTGCAATTGCTCCGAGGGTTCACCCCTTCAGTGTAAGCATGGATCTGGCGCTTCTTGAACCTGCAAGGCTCAGGCAAAACGTTGAGCTTTCTGCTACCTTGTATGGACAGGCCGGCTTGTCAAGACGAAGAGGTAAAAGGGTCACATTTGCAAGCTATGCAGTTCCGATTTCCGTTTCTTATCATGCGCGAAATTGTTTTTTCTCACGGGCCTGTTGCAGTTGCACAGCTCTGAAGCTGAACGCGAGTCTTGGGAGGCTGCACAGCCAGTCCGTGGTTCCAGGCTGGGTCTGGCATGTTCGTTTCTTCGTTTCCGCTCTGTGCATGGCCCTGGTGCCATGCAACAGCTGACCATTATGTAGCAGTGACGCGCCCCCATGTCCAGACTCAGAAGCCCTGAACAGGGGAGCTGGCTATCCTGGTTCTTACGCCGGTACGAGAGCTATCCATGCAGGCCTGATGCGGTTCAATTTGCAGAGACTCTACGGCTGTGTGTCTTACGCATGTCAGCCTTGGGACGTCCTGTCCTTCTCAGCTTATAAACGACTGGAATTGTCGAAAAAGTACCGTGCCAAGGGCCCACAGTGATACTCCAAGCATTTTTCCGCCCCACAGGTGGCTGCAGAAGCGGAGAAGCTGACAAAGTACTACACCACCTGCAGCACCATGTTGAGCACTTAGTCCTTTCCGGAATGAACCTTGTTCGAATCATTCTAAGGGGATGTATTGGTCCGAGAGGTTCTTGATGTTGTCGCAGATTTGCGATCGCGACTACTTGAGTATTGCCTGGATCCTGAGAATCAGTTAGTTGGGCACTAGCAGGCAGCATACTGTCTTTGTGCGGAACTGACTAGAGTGGAACGCAAGCTTGACCTGACCATCATGGCGTTCGCAACGTGTGATTCTTGGAGTGCTTGGAATTCAATTGCAGTTCTGTGAAACTGCTGCAAGTGTGAGGCTTCTCGTGGCCGCTGTGTGCTTGTACATGTTATCCGGGCTGCTCTGCAACTGTTGGTGCAGCCGTCGATGCCTTGCAAAGC